CTTATAACTAGAGCCGTTAAAATTAAGTAAATTTGCAGAGCACTATAATTTAAATTTGTTTAGGTCAGATTGCAGTTTTTTCTGATAGGACGCATCTTTATATCAAATGCAAAGTTTCACTTCATCTGCGTACATCAAAATAAAATAACTTTTTAAAGCGATTGGAAAATTATTTATGAATGATGTGAAAAATAGCGGACCTAAATGGTTTCCCTAAGGGACACCAGATGAAGCACAAGCCAGACCAGTCCAAGACATCTTTGAATAAAACACGTTGCGTTCTAGCAGTCAGATAACTTTCAACCCACTTAAGAAGATTAAATGGGAATCCAATTAAATCGATTTTATGTTCAAGAAGTGAGTGATTTGCAGATGCTTTAATGCTTTACCAAAGTCAGTGTAGATGACAACTGTCTGAAGACTTTTCCGGAAACCAGTGATGATGTAAGATGTTAGTTTTAATATGTCTGTTGTTGTAGACCGTCGTTCTATAAAACCATACTGATATGGAGATATAACAGATGTACACTAGTGTTGCAAATGGGGCACACTGATTTCTCAAATAGTTTTTGAATTGCTGATAATTTAGAGATACCTCTAATTACCAGCATCCGAAGTTTTCCCTTTCTTCTGTAAAGGAATGATAAAAGATTCCTTCCATATAGGGGAAACGTTGCCCTTTCAAACAAGAGGCTAAACCGTTTGATAAGAGAATTGCACATGAAAGATGCGCAGTACCTAAGCACACAGTCAGGAACGCCGTCTGAGCCTGGCGAAAAGGTTATGTTAAAGGAAATTGGCTCTATAGGAGTCAGTAAACTTGAAGCAGATTGACTATCTAACGATTTCATACCAACATGTTCAGAAAATTCAGACGCCGAATTTTTCGTACTCAGTGGAGTCATGGCCGACTAAACAGCTGCGCCGAGCTCCTCACGAAAACCATTTTTTGTCTACCGCAAAAAAGTTCTCATTTACTTTTGAGTTTACCTACACCTCAGCAGTAATGTAAGCCGGAATCGCCACGGGCCAAAACGTCGGATATGGAGGCATAAAGATTGGAACATTTGACATGACCTACATTATTGCACAGCCAACACAAAACGCTTGGACTGGTTTGTTGTGATTATTTTATTACACGATTTTCAATAGCAGACAATTTCACTATTAAATCAAACAAAGACCAGTGTGCGAGATCAGAAAAGGAGAAAGATCTAAGGGAATAGATTAGAAACAAGATAAGTTTTAGGTATGCACTCAAGAAAAAGAGAGACAGAACGGAGGGAATATAAAAACCAGATAAGAAACCGTTTAATAGCGAAAGACGAAAAATAAGAAAGAGATGTGAAATCAATTTAATTAATTTGAAGGTTTAAACAAAAACCAACGATACACAGTTTAAATCACTGCACGGAAGACAAACGGATAAAATTTATATTAAACCAAATGTAAGTAATATAGGTTAAAGTTAAAACTCACAAATATTCTAGCAAAGATAAAAAAGAGTAAAAACAAGAGGAAACGCTATAGTCGTGTGCCGCGACTATAAGATACCCGTAACTGTATTACACAATTGTAAAATATTAATTTTGCTAGTGGAAATTACCCAAGCGCCACCGATTGTCAGAGAAAGCATGTTGAGTAATTGCTAGCGCTGTCACAAACCATGTGAGACCTTATAACCTAAATTTCTTCATAAGTAGCGGAATAATGTTCCGATTTGAAAAATCTTTGGTAAATCGATAGATATAAACAGAAATAAGTTATACAACGTCAAACGAAGGCAATCATAATATTATTATAGACGCCACAGTGTTCCGCGGTTTGTAGGCGTTAGAGAAGGCGTGGCTGGATGAAAACTTTTTTAAATTTTTTGAGATTTCAGCGATTTTAGTTTATCGCGATTTGTGGGCGTTAGAGTGGGCGTGGCAGAATGCTGAAGTAAACTTGCGCTGTCCCGGGACCTCAAGAATCTTCATGCTTAATCTCAACTTTGTATCTGCTATAGTTCCTAAGATCTCAGCGTTCATACGGACGGACGGACAGACGGACATGGCTCAATCGACTTCGTTATTGATCCTGATCAAGAATATATATACTTTGTAGGCTCGGAAACGCTTCCTTCTATCTGTTACATACTTTTCAACGAATCTAGTATACCCTTTTACTCTACAAATACCGGGTATAAACACGTCCGTTCGCTTCGAAAGAATGAGTGAGAGTTTGAAGCAGATACATAATTAGGCTCTGATTTAGCAGCAAGAGTTATATGTCAATTAAGTTCAAAGTCGACTCAGAGCGATCGACCGCCAAAATGGTTAGGAGATCTTCAACGTCACATTCTCGAGGCACTATGTCCGTTGGGTTTACTTAGGTGGTGACGGGACGCCCAATTGCTTCCTCCGAATACCTTATTGGATCTCTGCTACTCGGTTCGAAATGAGAACCGACAACAAGGAATGATAATTGATCTCGGAGCCAGAGTCCGTGGGACAACTTATTTAACAGTACATTTAAGTAATGGCCCTACACGATTAAGAAGATCCGCGTAAACGTGATATAGTTTTTGACTTGAGAGGAGCTACCAATATTAGATGTCAGTAATGATACTTTTAAACCTGTTTCAGTTTGAGTGACAAATTAGATGCACGGTTTTTAACGTCGCATATAAGCGTTAGCGAAACCCTGATTTTTAATCGGGACTTGTGAATCTGTGTAACGCATCGATATACCTTAATTTGGGCAGTTGATGCTGAGTCGCCTTAAAGGCTTTCCAAGATGTTAGTAACTATAAATGTAGTGACTCAACCCAATCCAATTTTCAAAGCCATAGCTTCCGTAAAAGCATATTTGCCTTTCTGGCCAAAGACACAAAAGGCCCAATGGATCGAAAAGTCGAGAAGTCACTGCGGGTACATATCGTTTTGTCGCACGAGAGATCCAAAAAACGAAGATCCAAAAAAGAGTCCAAGAGTAAACCACTCCAAACACCACCACACTCAGATGCGTTGATCTCTGGGAAGTATGAAACCAACTTTGCGAATTCGTATCCTCCCTCTTACAAAACCTGAGAAACATCTAGAAGGTATTGCAGTTTCTCAACGCATTATGGGCCTGTCAACAAATAGTCAGGGTACTGCCAGAAGGGTGCTGGTGATGTTCCATATGTCACGGTATTCAACTTGAAGACATTTTCGGCAATTTGAAAAGTGTCGATATATTGTCGAAGGAAATCAATCATTATCGTACACCTGCTTCAGGCTGGCCAGGGCTTTGGGGTAATTAACCGCAGTGACTTGAAACGCCCTGACTGATCAATGATTGAATCAATATCGTGCAGAGTGTCATCTTTGTCGATAAATGTTTAAATTCGGAGGGCTTTTTGCTGAAGGTTGGAAGAGCAACGCTCGGCAAACGGCATTGGGAAGTGCGCTTCATCGGCGGAGCAGCATCATCGGCGCACGTACGCCTGACTTTGCTTATTAGCGAAATCAGTAATGATTTTGCCATTACAGCAGTTTCTTCCAGTTCCTCCCGGAACAAATTCTCTGCGTGTATTGCAGACATAAGCCTTTCTACAAAAAGTGAAAACAAACTTCCGAGCTCGGTGGGCGAAAGAGTGGGCGTGGCCGGATAATAGTACAACCTTAAGATATACGGACATGGCTTAAACGGAATCAGAATATATACCCGTAAGATACTCGTTACTGTTTTACACAGTTGTAAAATATTAATTTTGCTAGTGGAAATTCACAAGGCGCCACCTATTGTCAGAGAAAGCATGATGACTGTCACAATCAGTCACTGCCCATGTAAGGCCTTATAACCTAAAGTTCTTCATAAATAGCGAAATATTGTTCAAATTGTACAAGATCAAACGAAGACATACATTATAATATTATGGACGCCACATATCTAAAAAATTTCGATCTTGGTTGGTTCTAAACTAGGGCGTGGTCGGATAATGGTACTACCATAAGATGCGCTGGGATCTTAAGATTTTATTTACTTAACTTATTTACCAACTTACTAGTTTTAATAGTTCCTGAGATTTCGGTGTTTTTAGGGGCAAAATGCTGAAATAGACTTGCCCTTTTTAGGGACCTCAAGAATACGCTTGCTTCATCTCAACTTTGTATCTCTTATTTTTGAGATCTCAGCGGTCATACGGAAAGACAGACGCACGGACCGACAATCGGTCATACATATCTTAATCGACTTCGCTATTGATAGAGATCATGAAGATGTACATATATTTTATAGGGTCGAAAACGCTTCATTCTGCCTGTTACATACTTTTCAACGAGTACAATATACCTTTTTGTTTTACGATTAACGCGTATAAATATTGTCAAATACAATGTCATTAAAAAGTTTTTTTCTAACCAGTGGTAGCCTTAAGTACCTACTTATACTTATATGTATGTTGACGATTTAATAAAAATAGGAAATATTTGTTGTGTGAAGCATTATTGAATATATACAGCTGAGCAACAAAGTGAACTCATTTACGTTTATTTATGTACGTCTCTACAAGATATCTGCTTGGCTATGTTTGTGAGTGTAGATACATATATACATATGTATGCCCATACTTATACATATGTATGCCAAGATGACGCTAAGCAAAACCAATATTTCCTTGGCGATGTTATGTATTGTTTTGTGTGTGGTTAAATACTGAATTTATTTATATGTGGATATAGTTACAAATACGGAATACATTTATTTGGCTAATTACTGGAATGGAGTATCAATGCATGGTTGTTTATACAATAGTTAAAATAAGGTGCTTTGGTAAAAAAAACAAAAATCCGCTCATGGGTACAAGAAACGTAAGAAACACGTTTCCTCCTTTTATTCAAATAAGGGTTTTATGGGAACGGTATGTTTTAATTTATTTCAATAAATTACTTTTCTTAATAGTAATAAAAAGAACAACATTTTCCTGTATGCAAAATATGAAATAATTTTAAATAATATATTTAATACATTTATAGAGCTGTCGCTGCCTATTTACGTGCTTTAAACCTATCCCCAAACAATGCTGTTGTTCATGGAAATTTAGCATGTGTTTACTATGAACAAGGTCTTATTGATTTGGCTATCGACACATATAGGAAGGCGATTGAGCTGCAGCCAAATTTTCCCGATGCATATTGCAATCTTGCAAACGCTCTTAAAGAGAAAGGGCAGGTAAGTCATTATTTATAGTTTTGGATTGCATTAACCTAGTATTTTTAATAGGTGAAAGAAGCTGAGGATTGCTATAACACTGCCTTAAGACTGTGTTCAAATCATGCAGATTCACTTAATAATTTAGCTAACATAAAAAGAGAGCAAGGATATATTGAAGAAGCTACTAGACTCTATTTGAAAGCTTTGGAAGTGTTTCCAGATTTTGCTGCTGCCCATTCAAACCTAGCATCTGTTTTGCAGCAGCAAGGAAAACTAAAAGAAGCACTAATGCATTATAAGGAAGCTATCCGAATCCAGCCCACATTTGCGGATGCATATTCAAATATGGGAAATACTCTTAAAGAATTACAAGACGTGAGCGGTGCACTTCAATGCTACACCAGAGCAATTCAAATTAACCCAGCATTTGCTGATGCGCACAGTAATTTGGCAAGCATACACAAAGATTCCGGAAATATTCCCGAAGCAATTCAATCTTATCGAACCGCTCTGAAGCTAAAACCAGATTTTCCTGATGCATATTGTAATTTGGCTCACTGTTTGCAAATTGTCTGTGATTGGTCTGACTATGAAATCCGAATGAAAAAATTAGTTAGTATAGTTGCCGAGCAGCTTCAAAAAAACCGTTTACCCTCAGTGCATCCACATCACTCAATGCTTTATCCTTTGTCACATGACTATCGTAAATCAATTGCAGCGCGGCATGCTAATTTGTGCTTAGAAAAAGTCCATGTGCTACATAAAAATCCGTATAATTTTTTAAAGAAATTGCCAGCTTCTGGAAGGCTACGCATAGGTTATCTAAGCTCGGATTTTGGAAATCACCCAACGTCACATTTAATGCAATCTGTGCCAGGTCTCCATGATCGTTCAAAGGTAGAGATTTTTTGTTATGCTTTAAGTCCAGATGATGGTACAACATTTCGTTACAAAATTAGTCGAGAATCAGAAAACTTTGTGGATCTATCACAAATTCCGTGTAATGGAAAAGCAGCAGATAAAATATTTCATGACGGTATACACATTTTGGTTAATATGAATGGTTACACGAAGGGCGCGAGGAATGAAATATTTGCTCTTCGTCCTGCTCCAATACAAGTAATGTGGTTAGGCTATCCCGGTACTAGTGGGGCAAGTTTCATGGATTATATTATTACTGATTCTGTAACTAGTCCAATGGAATTGGCTTACCAATACAGCGAAAAATTGTGTTATATGCCTCATACATATTTTATTGGTGACCATAAGCAAATGTTTCCACATTTAAAGGAACGTATAGTAGTGTGTGACAAACAGCAATCTTCTGTTGTTGATAATGTAACGGTTATAAATGCCACAGATTTATCACCTCTTGTTGAAAATACAGATGTAAAGGAGATTAAGGAAGTTGTTCACGCACAAAACCCAGTCGAAATAACTCATAAAGTCGCAGAATTGCCGAACACAACACAAATAGTATCCATGATAGCGTCTGGTGAAGTTCAAACTTCTCTAAATGGTGTTGTTGTTCAAAACGGCTTGGCTACTACACAAACAAACAATAAAACCGCTACCGGTGAAGAAGTACCACAAAATATTGTTATAACCACTCGTCGTCAATATATGTTACCACATGACGCTATTGTATACTGTAATTTTAATCAGCTATACAAAATTGATCCACTGACACTTGAATCTTGGATAGAAATTTTAAAAAATGTGCCCAAGTCAGTTTTGTGGCTATTAAGATTTCCAGCAGTTGGTGAACAAAATATTAAAAAAACTGTCACTGATTTCGGTAAATATAATTTTTAATAAATATTAATTATTAGTTTAACATGGATAATTTTTAGGAATATCTCCTGATAGAGTAATATTTTCCAATGTAGCTGCTAAAGAAGAACACGTACGCCGAGGCCAATTAGCAGATATATGTCTTGACACTCCACTATGCAATGGTCACACTACATCTATGGACGTCTTATGGACGGGTACTCCTGTGGTAACTTTACCAGGAGAGACGTTAGCCTCAAGGTATATTAATTCTAACATATTCTAACGCTAATTTAAGCATATAATATTAATATACAATTGTTTGTGATATATTTTATATATTATATATTATATATTATATATTATATATTATATATTATATATTATATATTATATATTATATATTATATATTATATATTATATATTATATATTATATATTATATATTATATATTATATATTATATATTATATATTATATATTATATATTATATAATAATATATATTTTTGAATCAACACGGCAGCAGCATTCTCATTGTAATACTTATTCAGAGAAACTTTTCCTTGCCTCATGGATTCTAATTCCTGCTGGATTTCACGAACCGGCATTTTTCGGCATTCGTGAAGTCAAGACGCGCTACAATGGCGTCAAAATTTTAAACCGTGTTAGAGGAGGCTAACACCGCATATAGATTTCCCATTACTTTATTCCTTAAAATTGCTACCGCCTGGTAGTGTCTAGGACTGCCATTAAAAGGCTTAAATACGGTATACGAGGTGTGTTCAAAAAGTAAGGTGACTCTTCAAATTTCGATTTCAATTTTTCGATTATCGAAACCTTTTGAAGTTATACGAGGTGTGTTCAAAAGTGGTGACTTTTCAATTTCAAATTTTCAAATTTTTCGATTATCTTCAGTTTTGGGACAGAAAAGTCACATGGGGCCAAATCGTGAATATGGTGGCTGAGGCATTATTGTGGTGTTGTTTTTGGCCAAAATCCAAATCCTTTGATCCATATTTTTCGATAGCAAAAATCGCCGAGCTCGCAAAATAACTTGTAACTTTACGCCTCTACAACCAAACAAAGAGGATGTTCCATTGAAACTTGGTACAGATGTTAGGAAGAGTGTACCAATATAACAAACAAAAATCGATAATCAAAAATTTGAAATTCGCGAAATTTGAAGAGTCACCTTACTTTTTGAACACACCTCGTATGCAGCGTTACCCGTTTGTCTGCAAGACTCTTCCCACTTTATACTATTGTCGACACTTATGGCCTCATAGGTTATCCGTATTTATCAGAGAAAAATAACCTATTATACTCTCTAATTCTGTTTACTTCTGTGACCGAAAATGTGTGACCTGATGTTTTGGCAGTGTCCGCAAGAATCCAGTACATATTTGACTGATTGTTCCTAACCGCAGTTAAAACAGTTATTCCTTTCATCATTAAAGTTGTGTTTATGAGTGAGATTAGTGAGTACTGTTTTTATACCCGTTACTCGTAGAGTAAGAGGGTATACTAGATTCGTTGAAAAGTATGTAAAAGGTAGAAGGAAGCGTTTTCGCGTTGATCAGTATAAACAGCTAAGTCGATTAAGCCATGTCCGTCGTCCGTCCGTATGACAGCTGAGATCTCAGGAACTATAGGACATACAGAGTTGAGATTTAGCATGAAGATTCTTGAAGTCCCTACACATCGCAAATATATTTCAGCATCCTGCCACGCGCACTCTAACAAATCACGGAAAACTAAAATCGCTGAAATCTCAGGAACTATTAGAGCTAGAATGCTGAAATTAATTAAGTATAATCTTGAGATGCCAGCCAACTCATCTTATGGTGGTACCATTATCCGGCCACACCCACTCTTACGCCCACTAAGCTCGAAAGACGATTTTTGCATTTTTTAGATAAGTGGAGTCCATAAGATTATAGTGGATGGCTTCGTTTGACCATCCTTAACGTATTTTTGTCAATATCTATCGATTTATATTAAGAAATGTAGGTTATAAGGCCTCACATGGACATTGACGTTAGCATCGGTTAGTAAACATGCTGTTTTGACAAAAGGTGGCGACTTATCCATTTCCACCAGCAAAATTAATATTTTAAAATTGTGTAAAACTATAACGGGTATCTGATAGTCGCGGCAATCCGCGTTTCTTGCTTTGTTTGACCTTCTACAACATTTTTTTGTCAATGCTTATCGATTTAGCAACAATTTTTCAAATCGGAACATTATATTTCGACTTAGGTAAGGTTATATTAGTCACTATCAATTACTCAACATGGTTTTTCTGACAAAAGATGGCGCTTTGTGAATTTTTGTTAGCAAAATTAATAATTGAAAGTCTATAAAACAGAAACGGGTATCTTATAGTCACGGCTCTGGACTATAGTGTTTCTTTTTGGTTTTGTTTTGGCTTGTGTTTTCGGTTCGATAGTGTGATATTTTGGTTACTTTGGGGTCACGAAGAAAATTCAATATGATTTTATATTGATAAAAAATGCAAAGACTTTGAGATGAAAGCGAAAGGAACGGCAATGCGTACGAAAGGCAGTTCGATTTAAAACGAACTTTTATATCATTTAAATTATCTTACATACTATGTAATAGATGGGAGGGAATGCGCTGGGTACCAAAGCTTTTCCAATCAGAACAATATTTTTTTAATAAATGTAGGTTATAAAGCCTCACATGGGCAATGACATATCCGTCAGTTATTAAATATGCCTTTTTGACAAAAGGTGGCGCTTCGGAAATTTTCACACGCAACACGAATATTTTAAAATTGTATTATAGTCTCCAAACTCGACTAAAGCGCTATATTTTGTTACCCGTTAAAACTTTAAAAAAACTTTTTTCATTTTACAAAATTTGAAACTTATAGCTTGAAGATAGACTTTTAATTGGTGCTAAAATGGATTCTAGGGAAATCAAGCTGTGTCAATTTTGGAGAGACACGCAGTCGTCGCGTTGGCCAAACACTGCAGGATTGCATATATTGCAGCGATCACTCCTGCGACAGTCTTTGGAAATGCTCGTGAGTAAGGCAATTCGCGCAGTACTTATTTAACATCACTGCCCGGAGTCGCATCTCTGCTCTCGGCTTTTGGAACCCCTGACAGCTTTTTAGCGGAAGGATTCCGTGGCAGACTCGGCATCGAATACCTCCGAAACGTTTGCCGTCGAGGTCATCGCTCTGTAGGTACGAGGGGCCATTTAGGTTGTTCTTGATGACACACGAAAGGAATATTTTGACTGATCTCATGAACAATAATTGGATAAAATTTAAGGATTAAGCTTCTCCTGCTGCTGGGTTATAGAAGCTTTTCAGGGGCGAGGGTGGTCTTGGGGGGCTTATTGTTCAGGAACAAACAGTGGAGCATGCGAAGACACTAGTGGTACTGCTGGAATGTGTCTTGATGAAGCTGGCACTGGCATGAATACTGCAATTGAGCTCCTCCTTGATCTACTGGTGAAGCCCTCACTTAAGAACCAATCGATTGATTTCACGTCTATCTGGATGTCGATCTGGATCAGAAAATTAGGAAGATCCTGTAGAATATATTGCTGAATCGAGAAGGAGGGAAGATTTCCAGTTAGCTGTGGGAGCACATAAGCTGTCGTATGCTCCTGCATTCTAAAGTCAGTTTGGACGTAAGGTTTGAAAGTAGTGACTAAATGAAAAATATCGCTCATGGCGGCGCCATGAACAGCCCTCGCGCCTGATGCAAAATAACTTTGGACCCCAGATGGGTCCGGGGGTCAGGCAGCGCAAAGCATGTTGGGGACAACTGCTTTTGAAATTTGTACATCCCTTTAAATTATACGCTATATGAGACTCATAGTACAGCTGTGTGTAATGCTGCAGTCTCAAAGTTGGTGCTCTCGCGCACTTCAATTCTCTTTCAAAGCGAAAGGTTGTGTTTTTGGCTTTTGCGTGTTCTCGAGCGATTTAATCTTTGCATTTATTCCCGAATCACCTCGTTTTTGCTACTTTTTGCAAACGTTTACCTACTTCAAAAATCTGTTGTAATAAAAACGTAGGGTCGTATTGTCTGGCGACAAGTAATGATTTCAGTGACAAAACGTCGTGTTCCGTTTGACTATATTTTATTAAATGTCTTGATATGAACATATTCTTAAAGCTAAGAGCTCGCGCTGCGCTGCCTACAAAAACATCAGCAGAGCGGCAGCAGCGGCTATGTATATAAGAATATGTTATGCTCACACATAAGGAGAGAGCGCGAGAGAGATCCATATGCACATGTTATATATATGCGTTGTCAAGCTATGAGAAAGTGCTGACACTTGCACTTCCCACGTAACGAGCTCTGTGGCGCGTTTGGACCGATCATATTTCTGTAGGCCAATTTGTGTTTACGCAAAACACAGTAGCACAATGTTGGCATTGGTACAGTGTGTATTCGATACGATAATATGTGTATACTGCATCTCCCCTTTTTTTTTTTTTTTTGTCTTATTTGCCGTATGAATTCTAAGCATGGCCATACGTATTTATCTTAGAAATGGGATTTATGAACTATTATATAAAATTTTTGTAGAAATTGTTGAAAAAATTAAAACTAACGAAACTTTATCTACTGTTTATTTTTATTATTTTATTTTTGTATTTATATTTTTTTTCTGCTTATTTTCTTTGTTTTATTTACGGTCTGGTGATAATATGTTATAGCTGTGTGTGTGTTTTTTTTTCGTTGTTTTTGCTTAGACTCTTTTCCACTGTTCGTAATGAAAGTCTTCATTGGATGCACTTATAATACAATCTTCAAAAACAGCTTTTGAGGCAGTTTTTGTATATTTATTTGCAATTGGTTACTAAATATTTTGCTAGATCACATATGACTGCATATTCGTTACCATTCTCAGATATTGGTAGTGGACCAATAGTGTCTACTATCACTCTGTCGAAATCACTAATAGGAATGTCAGTTTTCTTTAAAGGAATATTGTATTGAATCTTTTATATTCAATATTCTATTGAAATGGTTTCATAGATCTTTTTGCTCGGTGCCAATTTGTGTTTGCTGATTAGTATACCGGCCTGCTTTTCAAGCCTTGGGAAAAACTGACCTAAGTCCAGAATTCCATTAGTATATAAATGGCTAACATCATATCTTGCAGTAAGAAAATACATGCAAGGTCACTACGTTTACGTATTTCGTCATTGTTTATGACTTCTTATACGTTGGGCTTAGAAGTTTTAGTCAGATTATGCCTAAGCAAATC